TAGCACAATGGGACCTCATTTTGGGAACTACCCATATGACTAGCCTTGGATGATAATGCTACATCGCAAGTGTCTAGGGCTACTTTTGCGAAAGTAATATCATACCCTCTGCAGGATTCGGATCCCTTATATACCGCCGAAGCAAGTGGAGCGCTTATTGAAAACGCCACACGCTTATTAGAAACGCCACAAGGAACAGCCCATAGCGCTGATAACCCACGAAAGCCTTATAAGGGTTTCGCAAACAGGGACCCGCGGGATTACGGGGGGTCCCTTTCATGAAGGCTTGTAGTAAGGGCTGCCTTACAAAATCTTGTATTTTCTCTACATCATCAACTGCAAATTGCTTGCATTCCGATTTGCTCCATGGCTTCCACGAAGCACTTTCTCCGTCGGTACAGACCTGGGCGTGTGGCTTTCGCCTTCATGCTTACTTGAAAATGGAGGACGGGCTGTATGGACGGTTGTAGATATCCATCGCCGCAGTCACAGTTACGCCTGAGTGGGTTCCGGAGCTCAGGTTTAGGCGAGTCCGTTGAAGAATCTGGCTTGCAGTTAAGGATTGTAAATTAAGTTGCAATAATATGGGTATATAATAAATACTGGCGTCTCCTGATTAGAGTAACTTTTGGACTCACACCTTGAAATTTGCTGCGGCAGTCAGGAAGCGTGATGCGGGCTGACATGTGATCTAAGCAGCAATTCCCAGAGAGTGGCGATGGCTAGCCCTTTGCCTGCTACTGTTGATGCTCATGCTCTTGGTCCGGCAGGGGCAAGTGCTGTCGCCCAGGCCTGGAAGAAAATGTGGAGCTTATGAAGCCATTGTGCTAACAGCACAGATGATGATACTGCTGATGATGATGGTGATGATGATGGCTAAGCTGCTAAAGGTGACGAGCGGCTGCCCATGCTCATCAGCAGGCCGGCGTACCCTGGGGAAGCAACGGTATCCTCCGTGGCCTCGTAGGTTTGCCTGCCAGAGCTATCTCGTCAGATATGACTGCAGAAGTGTCACTGTCAAATAGCCAATTTGCAAGCATTCATTCCTTGCAGACTCGACATTCAGATGCCTTCTGAGGGACAGTGTGATATGATTGGGAGCTCCGAGAGAGGAGACAGCGCATTACCGTTCAGGCCGCGCGTTCCAAGGTGAGGTAATAAACCCTGCTGACTGTAATTATAGATGCAATCGCTTCAGAAACGAGAATGGAGTCCTCCCAAAGGGAACACCAATGCTCTAAATGCTGTAACCCTAAAAGGCCTTCCTGTCATGATAACCATGCTGCATCGTGAGCGCAGCAATGTCAAAGGCCCCAACCAAGCAACTTACTGGCAGTTTCTCAAGGCACATGCCTCCCCATCCCCTGCACAAACATAACTGCAGCCTTCTTAATTAGCATATGCACATCTACAGGGGCAGGCCACATCAACGGGCCTGCCCCCTATAATACCCACCACCTGACGGTCTGATTTCCTGATCGCGGCCACACAAAAATCCATCCTAAATTTTGAGAAACATTCACAGCAAAGTGAAGCCCGCGAAAGGTCAGTAGTCGATCCTCGACCACTAATTGTAGCTACCACAAGGGATCATGTCTTGGTAATCGTGCTAACGACCCCGTCTAGTACTAGTATACCTGCAGATTAAGCTGCCAGTTGCTGAGCTAGGGGTACCATGAATCCTCTTTGTGAGCCAGTGCCTCAACTCCTAGCATCCCCTTAACAACCCTTATTATGCTCCCCTTTCTGATCCTTATATAACCCCCCTTTTAAGGAGTTTAGACTATAGCTCAATGTGTAGAAGGGGTTGAGGGCCACATTTTTCTCAACCCCTCGGACGTTTACGCCTGCTGACTGGCACAGAGTTTAGGTGATTAGGGTTTGAGTTTTTAGGCTTGCCATGCGCTTCCGACGGTCTGGCTGTACATTTGGAAGAGCAGGTTGGCGCGTTGGCGCGGTCATCAGGCTACGGCCGTAATTGGCGTCAGTCTTGCTATTCCTCTGACATCTCTTGTGACTTCTAGGGTTTTGGTTTAGATTTTCGGGTTTAGGGTCAGAGGAGTCCAGGGGTCCCTGCTTGAGATCAAAAGCTCCCAGCTGTAGGTCTACAAGTAAGAGCACAAGTCATAGAATGGCTGCCCCATGTCTGGACGATCCCTAACCCCTGAAGAGAACAAGGTTTAGGGTTTAGGGTTGAGGGTTTAGGGTGTAATGGCGGGTGCTTGAATGCCTGGACCAACACGGGTATTTCCAGAAGGGGGGTGGGGGGGGCGCCTTATAGACCCCCGAATGCTATAGGTCTTCATATCGGAACCCTCCAACAAGTGACCCCCTACTGTATTTGTTGTTACAGTTACATTGTTGGAAACGCCAGCATCCCTCCATGTAGCAAGGTGTAGCAAATCAGTAAGTCTGCGCAGTGACCCAGACCCCTGGGAGGATCTAGAAAGTAGAACCCTCAAAATGGTACCCTGTAGTACTATTGGGTAATTTATTGGAAGCCGTAAGGGGGATCTACTTTCTAGATCCGCCCAAAGGTCTGGGAAGTAGCTGGTAGTACTAAAGTGAACACTACTTTTGTCGGCTTTAGTCACTATACGCCACTAGGAGCTATTACTTGCCTTGTCACGACTTCAGCTTACCCTATGTAGGTTTTTGCTTTCCCACCACAAAATGAGCGCCGAGAAGCTCCAAAAGCCTGTATGCCTGAATGTCAGAATGCTGGCCCCTTCTTGATCCAACAGACATTTGGCCGGAAAACTCTGGGCTGCCCTAAGCCCTGAACCCTAAACCCTGAGCCCAAGCCCTAAACCCTAAGCCCTAAACCCTAAACCCGAAGCCCTAAAACCCTAAGCCCTAAACCCTATGCCCCAAGCCCTAAACAAGGAAGCCCGGCGCAGGCCCCCGGCCTGGCAACCACAAACTTGGCCATGGCTTCATCCACGGCACCCTCGTGCAAAAGCCACTTGCCCATGCTGGTCAGGAGGCCTTGGCTGGCTTTTGAAAAGAAAAATGGAAACTACTATAATATATTGGGGTTATATAGGGATAATGGAAAAGAAAATGGAAACTACTATAATATATTGGGGTTATATAGGGATAATTAGAAAAATGGAAACTACTATAATATATTGGGGATATATGTAGGGATAATGGAAAAGAAAATGGACACTACTATTTAGGGTTTAGGGTTGAAGGTTTAGGGGTTCAGGAGGCCTTGTGGGATTTATTTTGGGGTTGTATACGGGTTCTATAGGGGTATTTAAGGATAATGGAAAAGAAATGTAAGCTACTATTTAGGATCTAGGGCTTGGGGTTTCCTAAAACTGGGGTACCATTTTGGGAGCATTTATAATAAGGATTATAGTCTTCTTACGTTTACATTGGGGTTCCTGTTAATAACGTGGACTAGAGTGACCATGGTATTTTGGGGTCGATCTTGGGATCCCCCTCTGGACACTACCTTCATGGAGCAAGGCGGGCTTAGGGTGCTCGACCTCTAGAGAGGCTTGGGGAAGGACCCCCCACCGCTTACTGTGTTATGATGGCGATCCCTGGACAGCACAAGAGTCCGGGGCTCCAAGTTCAGGGGTCAGACCTGAAATTTGGGAAGTGTAAGACCTCCGAGTTCTTGGGCTTTGGTTGAACGACGGAGGCAATCCCCAAACCCCTCCTAAATCCCTAAACCCTAAACCACTAAACCCCTAAAACCCCTAAACCCTGTAACCCCTAAAAACCACTAAACCCTATAACCCTAAACCCATAAAACCCTAAACCCCCTAAACCCCTAAAACCCCAAACCCCTAAAACCCTTAACCCCTAAAACCCCTAAGACCCTTAACCCTAAGCCCCTAAACCCCTATACCCAAAACCCCTAAAACCCTTAACCCCTAAAACCCCTAAGACCCTTAACCCTAAACCCTAAAATCCTAAAACCTCTAAAGCCCCTAAATGCCAGATCTTCCCTCACGGCCTGCATAGTTGGTTGTCCTTGTCGCCCCCGCTGAGACATATTGAGACTCTGCCTTGCTTGTAGGGTTTAGGGTTTATGATTTAGGGTGTAGGGTTTAGGATTTAGGGTTTAGGGCTGATGGGGATCATACGGTGGTTTCCCTACATAGAGTACCCCCAGTGTAAACCCAAGAGTACAATCATTCCCAGGGCCCCCCAGATGGTACCGCTAATTTTAGGAAACCCGAAACGCTAAATAGTTGCTTCCATTTTCTTGTACATTATCCTTCAAAAGCCCCTATACACCCCGATACAGCCCCATTCCTATAGGCCCGGCTTCAACCCCTACAAAGGTACCCCTAATTTTAGGATTATATGCCCAAATTCGTTACTAACCACCAGTGAGCTGCTTGCTTGAACTTGTCCATGGCTTCTGGGAAGAGACCTTGGGGGCCACATAGGTTTAGGCTAGTTTAGGCTTCAGGTATCTGACACAAATAACAGCAGCAATACTTGTCTTAACGTCACATGCTAGACTGGAGGTCTCTTGCGAAAAGAGCAAGTCAAGGTGACCTGAAACTCCTGTGGTGCTTATGTGCCCATTTTGGGGTTGCCTCCCAGACCCCCAAGAGGATCTAAA